TTGCTTATAGAATCCTTCTAATACGTGGTGGTTATTTTGACCCCCCCCCCCCCACGTTATGTGGGTCCTTCCATTGTCTCTTATTGAAAAGCATGTTAACCCCTTACCTCACACCCCCAATGCTTTACAGCCATAAGCGCAGCAAACAAGACAGCATGAGGTCACAAGGGAATGTTTATGTGAGAATAATGAAGAAGGTTATGTTAAGATTTAACAGAATGAGGCTCTGAATGAGGCCTTAAGCACACTGGCGGTAATGGCAAAGCTGCCCCGGCACCCCAAGGAGCCTGGTCTGCAGACCCGCGCACCACGCCCCCTTTCCGGCTGAGTCACGGAGGGGTGCGGGCACAGTTGTGGGCTGCGCCCGGGGCGTCAGGTAGGGCAGGGCGTGAACGGGTCACCCCGCTTCGGCGGGACCCACACCCGTGTCCCCCGGGCGCAGCGCACTCACGGCGGGCTGCAGGTTCCCGCGGCTCCCTCCTCGACTTGGTCCGGGTGCAAGCTCTCAGAGGAGCTGGGCAGAGGCGAAGGCCGCCCGCCAGCCCTCCCGGATTCGCCCCGCTTGCCACCCCCACCTCTCACCCGCAGCCTCCGCGTCTGCGCAGCCGCGATCGGCGCCGTGCCGGCTCTGCAGTGCCCTGGACAGGGTCTGGTTGGGGAGGGTGAGTCCTTAGAGGGACCCCCGCGAGCGGGAATGGGCGGGAAAGGGGATGGGAGAGGGGGTCCCGCGGGCAGCGATCCGGAGATGTGCGCAAGAGTGGGAGTGAGTGGAAGCGAGGGTGCGCGCAGCGGCCCCTCAGGGATGGGGAGTCGGGCAAACGAGGGTCTGTAAGCCCTGCAGGCAGGGGTCTGTCCTGGCTGCGTGCTGTGTCCTGCGAGCCCCGATCTGCCTCCCGGCCGGTGGACGACACGGTGAATTTAGTTCAGCCTTAGCTCAGCGGAGTGGAGACCCGAGCCGGTACCGAGGGCGACTCGGTGTGTCCTTTCACGCCTGAGGGTCTGTGAGTGCGCCCGCTTCTTCGGGCCCCGCGCGTGCACCGGCGCGTGTGCGGTGCGTGTCGGTCTGGGCACGTGTGTGCCATTCTGCGGCGGCTGGGAGCGCAGCCTCTGAAGTCTCAGGCGCAGAGAAGCGCCGCCCTGCCGCGGGTCTCCGGAAGGCGGGATGCTGGCGGGATTTGCCCCTGGGAATGGAGTCAGTTGGGAGGAGTGCGCGGGCTGCCCCGGGGCGCGCTCGGCCAGCAGCCATGGCGGCGGCGGGTGCGGCCGGTTACTATTACCGTGAGTGGCGTCGGCGCTGTTGTTGCTGCATTCCCACGCGTTCTGCTCGGGGGTTTGGCGGGCTCGCGGCCTCACCAAGAACGCGGAGGCCCAGCGGTGTAAACGCCCCTCCCAGCCTTCCTCCGACCTTGGCTCCTGTCAACCGCACATCTGCATTTATTCTCATCCCACGCCTTCCCCAGCTAAAGCCATGACTAACGGTCCCACCGAGAAAAGAGAAATAACGAAGGGGACTCCTTTCACTCTGCCTTCTTCCACGTTCTTTCCCTCCAAGGCCAACTCTATTTTTTTTTCCTCCCTTAAGGGAGGGAAAAAAACCCCAAACCATTCTATTCTCTATGCTGGCAGCCCCTTCTTCTTTATGGCGCGCTCTCTCCCACAATGAAGTTGCAAACTGGCGGCCGCAGGATCCATCGATGCCTTGCTTTTCAGCACTTGGAATAATTAGTAACTTAAAAATAAGTATTCATTTTATTTGAAAGGCAGAGTTCCGAAGAGAGACAGAGAAATCTTCCATTCACTGGTGTATTCCCCAAATGTCCTACCTAGCCAGAGCTGAGCAGATCCGAAGTCAAGAGCTCTCCCATGTCTCCCACGTGGGTGCAGCCCCCAAGGCCTCAGGCCATCCTCCACTGCCTTCTCAAGCCATAACTGGGCAGCTGGATGGAGAGTGGAGATGGCGGGTCTCGGACCCGCACCCATACAGGTGGAGGATTTGCTTACTGTGACACAGTGCCGGCCCCAGTTAGTGGCATTTTCAGTGCCATTGGAAATGCAGCTTCCCAGTGCTGTGGACCATGGAGGTTGCTCATTCAGAGGCGATGCCTGGGCTGGCTCTGGGCTTCTTCACACAGAGCCTTCTGCTTCTCTCTCGCCACAGCCCCTCTGCGGGTCCCACCTTCCCCTCCTACGCCAGGCAGCAGTGACTGGTGTGTCTACTTGGGCCTCCACTTGGGATGTACTTCTCTGAAGCCCTGTTTCATTTGACCCTTAGAAGAGGTGGAAGTAAAGGCGAGGTGGTTTTGACTTCTCACACCTGTCCTGCAGAGCCTGGCGCTGCGTGTAGACTGCCACCCTTCCTTCTGGGGCGTCTCCCTGCCGGCGCTCTGGGTCTGCGGCTCTGTGGGGGCTTTCCTCTCTTCCCCTCTACACAGAGCGTGGTTCTGGCACCGAGTTCTGGCCAATAAGTGGTTGGGGAAGTTAGCCCCTGTGCAAGTGTCTGCGGGTGACAATGTCCCCAGAGCCCCTAGGGGTAGAGAAGGTTGCAGCTTACCCTAACCCTTTAAAACCCTTTAAGGGGCTTTTAAAACTGTGCTGCCCGTACTGGCTGCTGTCTGTATCCACACTGCCGGCCGCTCCACCCTCATGGCTATTCTTGCTGTAACAGCATCTGTACTCAACACTTGTCTACTGGGATTTCCCCCTTAAAATCACGTCTCTTTTTTCCCCTTGTCACAGTTTTATTTCAGTTCTTGGTGATGGTCAGAACTGTGATAGGCAGATACGCCCTGTCCTAAGTCTCAGATGCAGTGCCTACAGTTAGATGCAGCGCCTACAGTTAGATGCAGTGTGCACTGGGGCACCGTGGCTTACACTGCCGCCTGGGATGCCTGCTGGTTGCAGTCTCGGCTGCTCTGATCCAGATGTCACTTCCTGCTAATGCCTGCAGGGCTGATGGTTCACGTGCTTGGCTCCCCACACCATCATGGAGACCTGGATGGAGCTCCAGGCTCCTGGCTTTGGCCTGGTCCCAGCCCTGGCTGTGGTAGCCGTTTGGGGGATTAAACAAGCAGATGGAATGTCATCTCTGTCTCTCCATTTCCAGCACTTTGAAAACAAAAGTGACAGGTGACACGAGGCCTTTTCATCAGCTCTCTTGTAGTAGGGAGATGATTCTGCATGACCTGCATGGTCCCAGTGTGTTTGCAAAGGTTGTCAGAGTGGAGGAGGGACCCAGGAGAGGAGAGGGGGAGGGAGGCAGTGTGAGAATTCAACCGGTGCCTGCTGGATTTGGAGGAAGGCACACAGGTAGCTTCCAGAAGCTGGATGAGGCACGGCTGACTCTCCCTGGGGGCTCCAGAAGGACATGGCCTGGCCACACCTTTGTCTGCTTGTGGTGCTCTGGGCTGAGGTTGCTTGAGGGCTCATGTGTTGGAGTGTTGGTCCCCAGCGTGGCCGAGGAGACGGTGGTGGACTCTGGGAGCCTGTCTGCCTGACCCTTGAGTTGTTCTCTGGTTTACTGTTGTGTGTGTGTTTCACTTTTGTTTATTGTATTTGAAAGGTACAGTTACATAGAAAGAGTAGAAGGAGAGAGAAATATCTTCCATCTGCTTGTTTACTTCCCAAATGGCTGCAATAGCCAGAATTGAGCCAATCCGAAGCCAGGAGCCAGGAACTTCTTCTTGGTCCCCCACGTAGATGCAGGGTCTCAAGGCTTTGGGCCGTCCTTGGCTGCTTTCCCAGACGACAGGCAGGGAGTTGGGTGGGAACTGGAGCACATGGCTCCATGAACTTTTTGAGAACATTTTTATGCATGAATTTTGAAATTGTTTTTAAAGACGCACAAATTCAGAGACAGAGAGAAAGACATTTTCCATTTGCTAGTTCACTTGCCAAATGCTTGCAATAGCCAGGGCTGAGTGTGGCCAAACCCAGGAGCCTGGAGCTCCGTCTGAGGCTCCTGTATGGGTGGCAGGTGCCCGGGCCATTCTCTGCTGCCTTACCAGGCACAGTGAGCTGGGTCAGGAGAGGAGGAGCTGGCACAGACTGAGACTCAGATGCAGGATACTGAATTACAAACCCTTGTTTGTAATTGACATTTCCACATGCACCCCTCGCGTAGTTTCCTGCACCAAGATGAATATACCTTTTAATTCCACACACTCAGGCTAAACAATACTGAACCCCTGGGAGAGAACTCCTCCCTCTTTGGCACTGTCTGATTCAGCTTCTTGTCTCCAGGACAGCCTCGGCTGGCACTCATCAAAGCTTTAACACCACGCTGGACCGCAGCGGCTCCGTTCCTCGCTGCTTCCCCAGGAGAAGCGAGTGCCCATGTGTGCGCTCAGCATCTCAGGCGCGTTGAGAGCTGCTGCGTTCTCGGCGACGATGCTTGCTTATTCACAGGCAGCAAACGTGTCACAGGGAGAACGCGTGCACAAATGACCACTGAGCATGCGCTGGAACGTGATTCATTTCCTCATGTGTGGCCCATGGCAACCTGCTCAGTCTCTTCTGATTATTTCCAGGGGCTGATAATCTCTCTCCAGGCCCCACCTCTGAGAGGCCCCACCAGGCCTCCCACAGGACAAAGCACATCCGAGCTGTAACATGGCCCTCATTTCCTGGCTCTGTGCTTTGGGGAATATTGTCAAGTGTGCATGCCTCATGGGTACGCATACCCACCTCCCAGAACACTTATTATTTGTCCCACTTCGAGTGTCTCTACAACACATCTATACTGTGTGACCTGGCATGCATTTTGTCCCCTGTGCGTCTCTTTTCTCCTCTGAACACATGAACCTGGTGGGGGCAGGGAGTCTCCTTTTCATTAGTATTGTGTCTCTGGTCCTTAGCATGGTGCCGTGTAGAGTGCTCGGCAGTCACGCTGTCTCTGTCCATTGAATGGCTTTCTGTCCTTTAGGGCGTGTGTCCTGTGACCGCGGACCCTCAGACGAAGGAGAAGGAACCTGGCTGAGAAGCTCCACCTGCTCTTTGGAGAAATGCAGAGTTTCAGTCCTGAGCAAACTCGGGGGCTGCTGGAGCCGGAGCGTACCAAGTCGCTGCTGCCTCGGGACAGCAGGGCCTGGGAGAAGCCAGTCCATCCAGCCTTCACCCAGGACTGGGAGGCCGTGGAGGTCGGGGCCGCTGCTGCCTGTGACATCGGGGAGAAAGGTGAGGGGCTGTCGATGTCGCGGAGGTGGGCTGGTGGGGCAGAGCCCAGGGAGGGATTGGATGTCCAACCCCTCACTCCTCATTCGGCAGAGGGTCACAGGGCCCCTGCGTGGCCAACCTCGCCTCGTCATCCTGAAGCCTAGCGGCTCGAGGCAACAGCCAGGCATGAGCTGTTGATTCTGCGGCCCTCTCCAGACCTGACTGGAGAGCCCGTCTCTCCTGCTGCCCTTCCTGCGTGCGCTGTTGTCCAGCCAGCCGGTTAGGCTCTCACAGCCCTGGGAGCACAGACAACAAGAGCACGTCTGGACAGACGGTAGAGTCGCGAGGCCAAGAGTGGACAGCGGAGGGCACCTGCCTAGGAGGGGTGACCCAAGTGGAGCACTTTGGAGTCCACTGGGGAGTGGGGGGGGGGATCAGATTTTGCTGATGAATGTGAGGAAGGGAAGGGAAAAAGTGATTAGGGATGAATCTTGGTGTAGGCAAGAAGTAGTGCCCATTGCTGAGACGTGAACTCCTGACAGACACACAGGAAAGAGGGGCTGAGCCTTTTACTGGGACTGTCTTCTCATTTTAGGGATTTGCCTATTTTTATTTGGAAGGCACATTTACGGAGAGAATGATGAGAGAGGGAGAGGGAGGGAGAGAGAAAGAATATCTTCCACCTGCTGGTTCACTTCCCAAGTGGCCACAATGACCCAGAGCTGAGTTGATTGGAAGCCAGGAGTCATGAGCCTCCTCTGGATCTCCCACATGGGTCCAGGGTCCCAAGGTTAGGCTTTCTGCTACTGCTTTCCCAAGCCACAAGCAGGGAGCTGGATGGGAAGTGGAGCAGTTGGGATTGGATCCAGTCCTCTAATACAGGATCCAAAGCTCTAACGTGGCAGCTTACTGCACCATGGCACCTGCTCCTTGAGAAAGCTTGATTTTCTTGGGCAGGTGACAGAGTGAAGGCTCAGGCAGTGGAGCCCATCTGGTGACTCTGTTAAAGATATTCAGGTAGATCCAGGCAGCTGGTGACAGAAACGGGATCAGAATTGCGTTTTCTCAGTGCCCCCAAACCACAAGGCTGTCTGACTGTGTGTGTGTGTGTGTCCTGCGAACTCCTGCGAGCCAGCCTGGCCACCCACTCACTGCTCCTCCCCTCCTCTCCTGTCATCCCCACCCCAGGCCTGACTTCTCAGGAGTCAGCGCTTTCCCACGAGTGGAGCTCCCTGGAGGAGGAGGAGGAGGAGGAGGAGGATGACGACGATGAGTTGGAGGACTCCCAGGTACGGCACAGGGGCAGTTATAGCTACAGAAAATGGACTAACCATCTCCTCATGTCCATCCCCGCTAAAATCCTCACTGCCCCACGGCCCGGTTCTGCCCTAGCTGTGCCACCTCTTCACTGATGGGACCTGGAGCGAGACCTTGAATTTCTCTCTGCTTTGAGAACCCTTAGCCGTGAAGGGTGACATCATGCTAACTTCTTCCTGGCACCTGTGAGCTGATCCTGAGAGCAAATGAGGGTTAACAAATGGGTTGGCAGTGAGATGCTATGATTACATATGGCAGAATGCATAACTGGAGGGGTGGTTTAGCTCACCATGATGGGGAGTCCAGTATCAAGGTGTTGGCATCTAAGGAGGGTCTTGTAGCCACAGCCCAGCAGCCAGAGGGTGCCAGGTGGCCAGGCACAGCTAGCTGGGGCCCCTCCTCCTCTTCCCACAGGGGTTCCTCTAAGCGTCATCAAGTCCCAAGAGCCCTGCCTCTAGGACTGTGAGTGTTAAATCCCCAAAGCCTGGACCTGGGAGGACAGAGACCGAAGAGAGATGACATCTGTTGGTGGCTGCTTGCCCCAGGCAGCATCCTTTCCTCACCAGCCCAGTCACGGTCCAGCTGGGAGATGGGGGGATACCGCAGTGGGAACCCTGGCCGATCCCGAGAGGTGACGTGTGGAAGAGCTGCACAGAGGCTGCTGGGCTTCCGGAGAGGGACATGTGTGTGGGTTGTGTCTGAGATGCCCACTAGATATTTCGATGTGGACATGAAGTGGACAGGTGAATAATGTGGGGCTCAAGAGATGCATTGGTTCAGACATGGGCATCCTTTGTGAGATGCAGGATGTTTATAACTCTGGGGCTTTAGATGCCAGCAACGTCCTCAGCTGCCAGTCCGCCATTCCGGACTTCCGTCCGACTAGACGCCGATGTATTTTTCTCTTTTGTGTATTTGCATGTAGTCACTGCGTCACACAGCCTTTCTGATGATGTATCACCCTGCAGTCCCTTCTTCCCACAGTCACAGCAGTGGGCCCTTCCTTTGCAATGATAATTCTCTATTTTTCTGTTGCAGGGCTTTGTGGAGTGGTCCAAGTCCCCACAGCAAATGACAATCGTCTTGATTGTGTGTGTGGTCTTTTTGTTCTTGGTTTTAACGGGAATGCCCATGATGTTTCACATTTAACAGCCGTGGTCGTGGTGGTTCTGAAACAGGTGCCCGGGCATGAGGCAAGCAGGTGTCCTGGCTGAAAAACCAGGAATGGATATTGCATACTTATCTTTTGCCTTTCAAAGATCCATGGCGATAATTTTAAACAACTTTTAGCTTGACTGTGTTCCATTGAAATGAAGACATCATTGATTGCGATGCATATTATTTTGTAACATCCCTGAGAAAGAAAAATGCTAATTCCTCACGTGAGACTACTAACTGGAAGCTGCCTGCTCAGTTCAGGGACGGGGGAAAAGTGTGCAGTTTGCAATGAATCTAAGATTTACTGACATCAAGCCATCTTTGCATTCTCCGGACGGCTGCGGCCCCGACTTTTCCCGTGCCAAGTTCTCTTCCGGATGTTTTCCGTGGGCTCCTTCCTCTGTCTTCACACGTGAGGTCGGTGCTCTCTCTGGCCGCACGGTTGAGCTTGTCTTGCGGAAAGCGTCACTTTTACCAGGTTCATGCGTCTGGATCGTGACCGGGCGTGAGAAGTGCCAGCCGCCTGACGCTGGGAAGGAATTGGTCAGCAGCGTCGTCGGTACGGGAGCTGTGGAGCAGACGGCACCCCGAGCTTGCCCAGCCCTGCCCAGCCCTGCCCAGCCCTGTGTCGTGATTTCATCAATACCTCTCACTGTGTGGATTCATTGTGCTATTTGCAATGTTCTTTCAACCTCACGAGAACACATAGTTCCTTAGAATTGTTCACGTTCTGCCTGTCATGCACACATTCTGTAATCGACCCAGTTCTTTTTTTGTTTTCTCCCACCCTCTTTCTTCTTTCAGCTTCTGCTTGCTGTTTACTCATTAGGAGATTTTTTCCCCCCCAAAGATTTATTTAGTTGACTTTTGTTTTCCCAAATCACTACTGCTAGAATCTGTCATATCCATCATGTCTTCTCCTACTCGTGTTTCCTTCGCTATCCGTAACGCTATTTTATTCATTACCCCAGTCTTTCACTTGAATACTGACTCTGATGTCTTGATAATTGCTAAGCTAGCTTACTACTAACAAAGCACTTGTGGATTCAGTCTTGGTCACAGCTCCAGGCTCGATACCTTGTGTGCTGGTCTGTGTTGCTCTTAAATGCTATTTTTGTTGCGTTTCTAAAGAGTGCTTGGAAACTCAGCTGTTTATTGTTTAGGAATAATTCTATTTTCTCGTCTTACTACACTGTGAAGAGATTGTGGCCTATAACAGACCTGCGTTCAAAAGCTTCTATTGTGACCCAGAGCACGTCCACGTTTTGCAACTGTTTGGTAAGCGCCGAAAGCAGGCATGTCTCCTCTGTCTCCACACGTCCAAACTTGCAGATGTGAATTCAATCTCCCAGTTGCACCACGTGCTCGCGTCGGCCCACGCATCTGTCAGAAGCTGACGAGGTTGTGTAAGGTTGTGCTACTGCGAGTGTGTTTGCTCACGTGTGCTTGTAACCTTTCCTCGCTGCGTTCAACAGCTTTGGCACACGGTGCAGACAAATGCAGCCCTGCTGTGGATTTTCCAGCCAACAAGCACAGGTCCAGGCGTGTCGCAGGCACGCAGTAAATGCTAGTGAAAGCTTGATCCTTTGTCAAGTGTGAACTGATGGTCATTAACCAGTTAACCCCTTGCTGTGTGCACTGACTGTTCCAATCACAGCATCCTTCGGGCCTTGTGCTGGGCCCAGGCTGGCCGTGTTTGGGTCAGAGCGAAGGAACAGCCCTTGTGACCTCTCACCCTGCTGGACACAACCGCTATGGAATACAATATGGAGATTAAAAGAAAAAATCTAGCCATGTGGCCCAACCATCCCATCACTGTGCATCCAAGAAACATGAAACGCTGTGTGCTAACGGCACCTGCCCTACTCGCGTGGAATCTGCCGAGGTGTCTGTGCTGGAAATGTGACAAACACTCATGGGACCTCTGACTCCGGAAGAGGAACCCTGTTGGTTGCAGCAAAGTGCACGGACGCAGAAGACACCCTGTTGCTTGACATACTCCAGATGCAGAAAGAGAAACAGCACGTTTTCCCTCCTTTGTGGGCGCCAAAAAGTTCTGCATAAAATGTGGGTTACAGGGGGTGGGGGGCATTGGAGGGAGTTTGCACCATGTTGAGTTTACCGACTGTGACAAGGGTACCCTGAAATGTAAAGTTTAAAATAATAATAAGAAGAAAAAGTTTAAAAGGGGATCTGGCACCCAATCCTTGCCCGGTGTCTACTAACCCAAGGAGGATGAAAACCAGCCGACCGGCCGTGTGCCTTCCAGAAACGTGCATGTTCTGGGCTACAAACGCTCCTGTCCACGTGCAGAAAGCGTTCGCCTCTGTTGAAAGGCTATTCGCAGCTTGGGGATACGGCCATCGGAAGGGTTCACTCTATGAGCCGTGCAAGTGCCGGCCCACGATTTTGCAAAGATCACTGCTCTGTAAGGTGGCTGGTTCTTGGCACTCCCCTTTGTGGCAGGTGGAACGCGTTGGTCACTTCTTCCCCACTCTTCCCGCACTGCGCCAGGGCTTGGCTGACGGCCGTGCAGAGCTGACAGCATCGGGTCTGAAAGCGAGCTTGCTTGTGTCCACTCTCGTCTCTGCCCGGGTTCAGTGGACATCAGGTGGAGGTGGCCTAGCGGAAGCCTCCGGGTCAGCTGCCGGCGGGAGCTGGGGCTGTTTTCTCCAACGGAGACAGCCTGCGTCCGCCTCGGCAAAGTCACCCTCCGCGGGTCCTTCCTCCAGACCGCTCTGCCTCGCCTCGTTCTTTTCCTCTCTGTGTCCAGCCTGTTTCATCCAAGGGCGGAGTCTATTGCTCCGGGTTCACTTACTTCGATGCAATGTGTGATCCGAAACACGGCGGGGGGGGGGGTGACAATGCAGTGATTCTGCATTTATAGCTGCGCACCCTGGGGGCTGCGGAGCAGGCTCCTGCTGAGACCGCCACCCGGCTCATCCTTTCCTTGCGGGGGAGTACTTCCTGTTGTGTGAGACCGAGGCCCAGGCCCACAGCTCTCAGCTCTGCTTTTTCTGCAGGTCTGTGCAAGGTCACGCCTCTGTCAGGCCCTGCTCCTTCTGTGGCCTCCCATGCCGGTCCCCTTCCCATCCAGCTGCCTGCTAATGTGCCTGGGAGGGCGGTGAGGGAGGGTCCCATGTTTGGGTTTCTGCCTACAACCTGGAAAACTAAGATGAGGGTCCTGGCTGCGGTGCTCGCCTGACCCTGGTCTGGCTGCTGTGTCCTTTTGGGGAGTGAACCGGCAGGTGGATCTCTTTCTTTCTCTTTCAAATAAATAAATACATATTAAAAATAAGTGGGTTTGGGACTCTGCCTAATGTTTCATTTTCACTTTAAAAATTTGAGAGACACATGTGCAAGCTCGCATCTCCCAGGCCTTTCCAACATGCCTTCACTGACGGGGCTGGTCCATGTGGAACCTGGAGGCCAGAGCTCAGTGCAGGTCCCTCCTCTCCACGTGAGGGCCGCCTGAGCCATTTCAGCCTCCTAGGGTCCACACCGGCAGGGAGCTGGAGGTGGGCACCTGACCCTCCCATGGGGGACACGCTCATTGGAACTCCCCAAAGCCCTGCTCCCAGACTGCTCATTGAATTAGGATTGGAATTTTATAAGAGGGGAAAAAAAGCAATATATGACCAGGAACTTATGGCCATTGCAGGGTCATGGCCATTGTAGGGCCATTGATGGGGGGAGTGTGGAAGACCCACTGCTTTGAGGCATAAGTTGGGTTGGGGAATCAAGAATACAAGCAGAAGTTTGCAAGGTGTGTGTATGTGTGTGTGGTTAGCTGGAGACTTCTTTGCCGAGTCCAGACAGGGAGTAAGGGAGGCAGGGACTCTGCCAGGCAGCCTGGGACACCGCGCTCACAGGCTTAGATCAGTGATTACACCTTAATAAAATACGTGGGAAATGGTGGAGCAAGCTGTTGGTAAGTGGGCAGCAGGTGTGAGCGTCTCCACCAGCTATGGCCACGGGGTGGCGCCCTTGCGCCGCTCACAAAGGAATCAGACTTGCGATTAAGTGACCATTGCCAGGATGGGTGCGGGGCAGTGGAGAGGGGAGCGGTGTGCTCTAGGCTTGGCTAGCACCCTCACCGCAAAGGCTCAGAAAACCCATCTGTCTGCGGGAAGCCCCAGGCTCACTCATCCGAAGCGGCAGGTGTGTGTCCTGTTGGCCAAAAGGGTGAGCTCGGAGGACAGCCTGCCCGCTCCCTGCCAGGCCCTGCGTGCCGCCCTGGGGGTCGGAGCAGCCTGTGTCCTTCCAAGCAGGCCTCTTGCTGCGGCTGAAGCGGGCAGGGAGGGGGTTGCCCTGGTGACGGCAGGACGGGCGAGGTCCTTCCTGCGTGATGCTCTTCCAGGGCAGGTTGGTTCTCCTGTTCTCCACTGTGTCTGCCACCAAGTCACATTCTGATCAAAGTTCCACTTGCTTTCTGGACACCCGAAGGGATCTCTGATTTCACTCTTTATTATTATTATTTATTCATTTCTTTTGGAAAGACAGATTTATACAGAGAGGGAGAGACCAAAAAAAAAAAAAAAAAATCTTCCATCCACTGGTTCACTCCCCAAGTGGCCGCAACAGCTAGAACTGAGCCGATCCGAAGCCAGGAGCTTCCTCCAGGTCTCCCACACGGGTGCAGGGTCCCAAGGCTTTGGGCCGTCCTTGACTGCTTTCCCAGGCCACAGCAGGCAACTGGATGGGAAGTGGAGCAGCGGACACAGACTGGCATCCAGGTGGGGCCACAGGGAGAGGGGTTGGCCTGTTGCACCACCAAGCTGGCTTCGAGCCCTTCATTCTTAGTCCCCACCCCATTCCCGCCCCAGCATTATCTGGGTAACCGTTATCAAGAGGCACGTCCACAGTTGTGTGATGGGAGACTGATGGGCCTGTTTGGACAAAGGCCACAGAGGAAGACAAGGTAAAAAGGGAGGGAAGATGGGAGTAGGTGAGGAGAGACGGAAGAATTTCAGAGAAATGGACTGGGAGAT